CGACGAATTTGCCGGGGTTTATCGTTACTGGATGTGTCACATCAATCCTCAACGGTCCCGTTACAGCATCCTTGTACGGAACGGTACCTAACCGCATGATCCGGGAATACATCTTTCTTAGGGCCACCTAGAGGCGATTAATAACAGAATGCCGCGATAACTGCTCCGTCCGATCTGTTGTCTATCGTAGGCCATGTAGCCACTGCTTCTTGTCGGAAACAACTACTCGCCCGTCAGTTTAGCGCGTCATAGAAATATAGCAGCGTTCCGCGTCCGGTGGGGTAGCTATATGTAAACAAAATGAATAGGGACACGCGGTGTGTGCTTGCAGGCGCATACTCGGAGGGGGGGGGGCGCATTCACTCCAGCGCGCGCATGCACACGCGGACGCACACACCCACGCACACACAGATAGAGAAAGTGAAAGAGCGAGAGAGCGAGATACCCACAAATAAATAGAAATATTTTAACGACACAGCAGTATGCACATTTGCAAAAAAACATTAGTGTGTTTATCATTTGTTCATTGAATTCCGCATACCTGCACACAGGCTATGGATGTATATAAGCTCACATTGTGATACTATGTATGATACTATGGATGTATATAAGCTCACATATATAAGCTCACATTGTGTAAAACTTTGTTTTCATATTTTCATTTGAAACGCATTTTTTCCATCCATCCATCCATCCATCCATCCATCCATCCATCCATCCATCCATCCATCCATCCATCCATCCATCCATCCATCAATCCATCCATCCATCCATCCATCCATCCATCCATCCATCTATCCATCCATCCATCCATCCATCCATTTATCCATCCATCTATCCATCCATCCATCCATCCATCCATCCATCCATCCATCCATCTATCCATCCATCCATCCTGTCTTTCCGTTTCTACCTTTTTCCCCACACTTATCCACCAGTCGACCTTTTTTTTCTCTTTTTTGCGTGTCTGTCCGCCTATCTGTCTGGTTGCCATTCGTACGTCCGTCCGTTTATATTTGTTCGTCTCTGGGTCTTTCTCTTTATGTCTGGCGGCCTGACTGGACTGGCTGGTTGTCTGTCTGTTTAACTTACTCGCTCCCTTTTTCTCTCTCCTGCCTCGTTTCTGCTTCAGACTACGCCTACGTTAGTGTCTCGCATTGGAAATGCATAGCAAAGTAAGAATGTTATTATCTAGCGTAAGAACTCCAGACAGTCGGAGAGAAAGAATATTTCAATACATACGACATGTTTTTCTTAATAAATAAAACTGCAGAGTTCTGTTTCGCTTTTCCGCGTGATCGATCGTGACATGCGAAATAATCGATATCTAACCATAAAACAATTACGTAATAGAGGCGATAAAATGTTGATGTATATAAAACTCTCTTTTTTCAGTTTCGTTCCTATAGCACATGCACCGCTAGCGAAACAAAGTCATTATAAGGTTGCAAAACGATACGCGTATACTCTGTGTATATGTCACTGATACCCAGAGCATTTGTCAACGGCATGTGAAAACAGCAGTTGTCTGTTTTCTCAAAAATTGGTAGCCGTTTGGTTTGTTCATCCGATCCATTGCCGACATATATTCAACGCATCGGAATCATTCGGTTATACTGCAAATATTCTAAATTGAGTTTTTATTTTTATAACGCTAACATTCCCGAGGGAGGCGCTATTGATTTTAGTACCGACATCGAAAAGGATATGTCTGGTCTGGACTGCCTCTTGGGGACTAGACATCATCATCCGACTGATGATGTAAACGGTGTAAAGCAAACTCAGCGCAGACTTGACATTTGGCAATATATTACCAACTCCAAAGGGGAGTCAGAACCAGGCAGACATATATATATATATATATGTATATATATATATATATCTCTCTCTCTCTATATTGAGGGGGGGGGGTGCTCGGTGGCCGGAGGATAGAATGATAGATGCGTGATATCATCAGCGATGGCCGTGTGTGTCTCCGTCTACACAAGCGTTACTAGTCAAAACATGGAAACGAATAAAGGCAATTACGACACGTAACAACACGCGCAACAGCTGCTAGCTAATCTTATTCTCGCTCTTTTCTGGGTCGCTATTTATGTTGGCAGTTTCCACAGAGGCGCTGCCGTTGCCGTCGCCGCTGCTCCGGCCGTGTTTTGCTCTTTGTATCGCCAAATTACTGAGTAGAGTGCATTGCTACTGCCAGACGCAACCCTAGTCACGATCTAACACAGGAAATTCCGAAAAAAAGTGTTAAACTCCGGCTTGTCTTGCGGGCGGTCTTGTCATATGTTGCTTCATGAGTTGTTCAGGCGTTGCTCTTTGCACTTGTTGTCGTGTTTTTTGGGCGTGTAGAATATCTGCTAGGTCGTGTTATGGCTTCAGCAGATGGAGCAGTTATGAAGATACCTGTCTTATGCGCGCGGTGTGCGCATGCGTGCTTGTGGGCGGGTGGATGCATATGTGTGCGTGCCTGTGGGCACATACGTGCACGCGCGTGTGCGTGCGTGCGCGTGGGCTCGTGTGTGTACGCGTGTCTTCGTGCGCGCGTGTGTATATATACGCACATCTCAACAACGCGTAGCTCTGGTTTGTTTTCGCGGATGTTTTGAGACACGTCGCATAATGTGTGCAGCATACGCGTGCGCGCCTGCAGGCGCGAAACATTAGAATTACTACGCTGTTATTAGTCTAGAAAACTCTACGTCTGCCGTATAAACACCGACTAACGTTCAGCAGCCCACGCTTCCCTCGAGACACAGGCGGTACTTCGCGGTAGCGTTTGTAACCACTAAGACACAAGAACATGTATTACACCTACGCATAGAATTATATATAGGCCTATATATATATAGGCCTATATATATATATATATATATATAGGCCTATAAGGGTGGATAGATTTCCGAACAAAGGCCATTATGTTTGCGGGAAACTATAATGCTTCTTGCAATCAGCACTTGGCGGTATGTAATCGGGTGCCCCACTTTCTCTATCAACATTCGATCGTTTCTAACACCCTTACAACAGGCGGACTCGCGCGGATGTTGTCACAACCACGTAAATGAACGCCATGAAGCCATGATTTTTTCAATATCCCACCCGTCGCCCATTTATAAATTTTTCGCCTGCAGGGCTGCGTCTGGAATAATGTGAGCCATTTATAAAAAACGCTTGTCTTATATATCACATAATTTTTTACACATTCTTTTTGACAGCGCGGCATCTGGATTCTTTCAAATCAAATATCGAAGGCGGCGAATAGTTATATTTGTAACAGCTGGTCCTGTAACATTTCATGTCGACTTAGTTTCGCAACTACATATGTAAATTCGCAAGAACACATTATACGTGTTGACATGTTGACATGTTGTTGAGGTTCGGTTGATATCTTCGTTGTGACGAGGCAATAACAGTCTGATGGATTTTAGCGTCAATTGAAAGACGAACGCAACACTAACCTGACTATATATCCTTATCGAATGTGAGGATGACCATCCTAGCGTATAACCCTTGCTGTTACGTGAGTAATGTAAACGTAAACATTACGTCTTGTAACGTAATGTCTTACGGGTTCTCTCTTCCTCTCTCTCTCGCTCTTTTTTTCTCCCCTTTCTCAATCTCCCTCCCCCCTCTCTCTCTCTCTCTGTCTGTCTATCTATCTATCTATCTATCTATCTATCTATCTATCTATCTATCTATCTATCTAT